CTGATTCTTATAAATTTATTATTCATCAATAAATCGGCCATTTTGTTTCCAGAATCACTAACCAGCCCTGTTGCATTGTGGTACTTTACCAGTGGATAAATATGCAATCCACTGGTTAGGTAGCCAGGGTACTATCCAACTGTCGAACAATGAAATTTTATCCACTGGATAGCTGGCCGCTGGTTAAGAATTTAACCAGTGGATAAGCTATCCATTGGTTTATTTTAACCAATGTTTTGAACAATGCGGTCCAGGTTAACTTTATTACTCCGAAACTTTACTACTTGTCTATTTATAGATCGAAATCATAATACATGTAATATTTTTCTTACCGTTTCATATCCAGTAGCATATTTTGCGTGTATAGTGTGATTAGTTTACTGATTGTAATAAAATCAAACAATTCAATTAATGAAGATAAATCACAATTCACTTTTCATATAAACGTTTTTTTTAAGCTTTACATAGTTGTGTATCAATAAACTTTGTTGTTTCACTGGTTAGGGTCCATGTCATGCATGAATTTGCCGCTTTTATTTTTTCTGTCTGCGGTAAGAAAGTTTACAATGCTTTTATCGCAACAATAATAACGCATTTTGTTTATTTAATATATTCTTTGCATAACATCACAAATGAACTAACGCCGCAGGTTTCATCCTTATCAGTTGATAAATTTATAAAGGAAAATTCGGCGCCAGGTCGTAAGCAACGTGATGTATACAACTCATTTATAAGGATTTAACTCAATACAGGATTTGAGCAGTACCTCTAATCATGATCACAAAATAGACAAATTTGTTTGTTTTTTTTTTTCGCCGATTTTTACATGTTTCATTCATTTCCATACATAAATCAGTTTGAAAAGATGAATTAGACATTTTAAAGTTCATTCCGCTGGGTAAAAAGGCAAGAGTTTAGCATTTTATCATTTAAGCGCCTTGTCTGGTATTTACCGGAATACGGTATTTAGTGTGGTGTTCCAATCCTTTTTTTAGTCTCACTCCATTCATAAAGGCATTAAGTTGTGAATACGGCCCCAGAATATCGTATGGTTGGAGTTATCAAGCACTGATGTTAACATAATATAATCCAGTCTGAAACGTAAGTTTAAAATATTTAAAACTTAAAAAAATAATACTTGAATGATAAGGTGAAACACTTTTGTAGATCTATTATATCTTTATACATTAGCAACAATAATGTGGAAAATAGAACAGCGTTATACGAAAATCAACAGCGGTAACGATCTCCGCTTGAAAAATAATGTTAGTGATCTCTCTTATACCGAAATGATATCAGTTTCAGCGGTGTATTTAACACCTGTCTTGTCGTTTCGATGCAAAATAATAACCACGGCCTTCGTGGTCAATCCCTATATACACATCAAACTCAAATGTTAAATAGCACATAATACACCGCTGAAAACGATATTATTTCTTAAATAACCTCCCATATTGTCCCTGTTTCTATTCGATGTCATACACTGTTAGTCGGTTATATGTGTCTGTTGTCGGTTGCGTATCTTGGTCTTTAAGGAATAAAAATCTGGAAACAAAGTGATCCCTCGGAAGCATTAATCACAACAAAATTACTTAAGAATTGCAGACTCGGTTTGATTGAGTCTGTACATGAGGGATAATGAATAAGTGCAACATCCCTCACGCCCCCTAGCACCGGCTGAGCGGTACTCAATTCTCAACACTTAATAGTGTGGGCATCAATTATCCGGAAGGACCAGAAAAATATAACAACACTGAAGTGAAGTACGGGGCAACTTTTTACAGCTGCCACACAGCACTTGACACCTGCTGTTGTGAAGTAAAAAAATCTGGAAACAAAGTCATCCCTCGGAAGCATTAATCACAACAAAATTACTTAAGAATTGTAGACTCGGTTTGGTTGAGTCTGTACATGAGGGAAAATGAATAAGGGCAACATCCCTCACGCCCCCTAGCACCGGCTGAGCGGTACCATATATTATTTCCATATAAACCTATATTATTTTCCATATGTGTGATACTGTCAAGGTTTTTTTTAATGTCATTGTTACCTTTACAATTTTGAGTATTTTTTTCTGTTGTTAAAATCTCCCCGAGCATCTCAACAATGATTCACCATGATCATCTACTTGTTACCATTTATCTTATGTTGAAACCCTCTTTACAATATCCAGGAATATGCCTTTCGAACAAATACAGAAGTACCTCAAATACTGTTCAATCAAATCATGTTGAATACATTCAGAAAGTGTATAGGGAAAGTACCTTTAAGTTAGATATCCACTCAGTTTAACAATTTATTACAAGATAATAAATTTTATCAGCGAAAGAATTTTGGTGTATTTATAGACTACATTTCATAACTTATCAAATTATTTTTTTTATCTGCACGTTTCATACTTAACCCCGTTAAGTTTGCGATAATGACATAACTTTTACAACATAACAATGTGAAAATTCGGCTTTCTTTGATAAAGAAAATGTGGGAAAATATATTCCATACTTTGGATTGACATTAAAACAAATGATATTGATCTCATTAGATAATCATTGAATTGTAAAGGAATATTTCAAGAATGCCCTCTCGAGTTTGAAATTGACCGTAGTAGCCCTTAATTGTGTTTTGAACACGGGTACGGATTTTTTTGTTATCATATAATGCGTGTAGTTAAAAATAATAAATAACAAATTATAATTTTTGGCCTTTTTGCACGCTGATATGCTCATTTATTACTGATTTACTATTGTATATGATTAGCCGTTAGTTATGGAGCTTATTTGATATTTTCTTATAAATTTGGAAAAAATTCCACTCATGACATGAAAATATTGATAGAATTGGCAATATCATATATATTTCATAATTTACAAGGACAGAATGTAACGCCATCTTACATTCCAAAGGCATACGTACAAACTGGTTTCCACAAAGCCTACTTATGCAATATGCTGAAACATACATCACTCTATTTTCATTCTAGAAAACATTACTTACTGTCCTTATTCCACAACCGTCTTTGAAATAATATCCTTTCAATTACCAGTCACTGGCGACAATTAGAGTTAGACAAAATGGCTCTAAATGAATCGAACATTTGTCTCCCGTTGAGAACACTTGTCATACGATCTGTTTAAGATGATAGTCACCAGTGTCCAGACGGACTTAAGGAGGTCAACGAAACAGAAGAAACAATATTATGTTGTGGATCTATGAGCATTGTCCCCAATAAAGTTTCCGCCAAGGTACATAAACAACATCATAACTATCTGACATGATAAAGTATTCTTTAATTCAAATGTAATGCATTTAAACAGCTTTAGATATGACATAGAATTTATGTTTTAATTTTATTTGCAGATTATTACAGACGAGTATGATGACGATGCTTTTCCTCGTAAGTTATAGTATTCTTACCTACCTACAGTACATGTACTACTTGTTTAAAACAAACAGTAACTAATAATGATCTATTTTATTCATCAATTTGAAAGTTTTAAGCATTCAAACAATTTTGAAAATAAAACAAAATTTCATTTGATAATTAATCTGTAGAACTTCATTTATAGCATTGTATAAGATCATTATATTATCCTCTTTCGGAGAGAACTAAACCGAATTGCCGCTATTTATTATTAATTATGATTATTGTAGGAAACTAAATATTCATTGTTTTATATTTCATGTAGAATATCCATCACTTGATATTACGGTATGTAACTGTTCTGAAAATAAGACTGTTCCCTGGAAGCAAATCTTGTAGGTATTTCGGGTGATAATCAACAAGGTAATCTATGATAATTAATTGATTTATTGTCAATTATGTAAGTCACATGTAAAATTAATTTGTAGTCAATTATGATATGATAATATCCTTTCAGATTTTAAGACATATTTAATGAAATTGTAAGATTGTGAGCTTGTGATTTGAAAACTCACTTAAGTAAATTAATATTAACGTTTAGATTTTGTAAATTTTAAATTAATCCTTTCATTGTTATTTGGCTTGAAATATGGATTATTTATGAAAGAGCTGTTGAATGAAAAACTATTTTTGCACTGAATCATGACAAATTATTTAAAAGATTGTTTGCAGTGAACCTAATTGAATACTCTAACATTGAACAGATGACTGCATATTCCACTATTCTACATGTCATTTTTGTGTAGATCAAATGAGGTTGTATACCAATCGTATTCGTGTCCTAACCTAAGATATGTTACAGACGATGGAACAATACACATAGAAACGAGTGGGTATTTCTACATTTCATCACAACTCAAGTCAAAACACTACAGTATAAATGGCACAGCAGATGTTTCGGGCGCCAGTCATTGATCACGTAAGTAATAAACAGTGTTGAGTTTAACTAAATAGATTAATAAAGAGTAACGTTTTTTGTTTAGATTGATAAAACGTAGACGATGAATGTTAGAATAATGATAATCTATATGTAAAGATTTAAACTGATAGTTATCAGGAAAGCGAATTTGAGTTGTCACTTGGTAAGATCTGCTCTTGCGTTAAACAGTTATTTTATTTGACAGTATTTTTCCTCATTGCTGGTGCTATATATAGATTCATTGCTGTTAGAAGTTTTCAAGCTCTCATACAATTTAATGTATGTCGGACAGTGAACTTTAAAATGGAATCAAACAATTCAATTATGAAAGAACGATCACGCTTAACATATCAGGTAGAGTTCATTTTTGTGTCTTTTTTCTTAAAAGTCTTAAAAGGTTTGATCATGTTTTCAATTTTTAACGAATATTAGTCGTAATAATCTGACATTAAAAAAAAGAATCTTGTTTTTGATTTTTATGTATTTAATGAACATCCCAGAAAGGATTTTTGCTCTTCTATGAGTTAATTGACGTCATATCTAGTGTTTAAAAGTGTATGTCAATGGACTTTTCTTTAAATGGTCAAATTTAAATTTTAAAGCAAAAAACATCCTATCTCAGGACATGAAAATATACAAAGATCTATCAATAACATAATTAATTAGTACAGAATGTAATGCTTTGCTGACTCAAAAATCAAAGCCTACTCTCAAAACCGTACAAAATGGTTTCGACCTATGCAATATATACTAAAACATCCCTCTATTTTCATTCCAGAAAACATTACTGATTGTCCTTATATCCGCAACTGTTGTTGAACTGATAACCTTGTTGGCACTTGCCGGTCACTGGCGACAATTAAGGTCGGATATAATGGCTCCAAGGGAATTCAACATCTGCCTCCCGTTGCGGACACTTATCATAGAATCTGGTGAAGAAGAAAGTCACCAGTGTCCAGACGGACTTAAGGAAAAGGTCAACGAAACAGAAGAAACAAAATTATGTTGTGGATCTATGAGCATTATCCTCAATAACGTTTCCGCCAAGGTACTTAAACAACATCATTTCTATTGGACATGATTAAGTATTATTTTATATATATGTACTACATTTTCAACAGCATTAGATATATCATAGACTTTGTATCTTTCTCTTATTTTCAGATTGTTAAAGAAAAGTATGATGACGATGCTTTTCCTGGTAAGTTATACTATACTTACCTACAGTACATGCACTAATTTGTTTGATAGTAGATACAAACAGTATCTAATAATGATTTCTTTTTTATATATACTGATTTTGATACTGATCTTGATCTATTGATTTTTACCATATGTGTGATACTGTTAATTTTGTTTTTAAATATGTCGTTGTAACATTGGCATTTTTATGCGATTTTGCCTGTCGTTAAAATATCCCCCTTCATCTATACAATGATGCTTTATATATATATAACTATTTAAAAAAAGAAACAAAATTTTATTTGATAATAAATAATTATGTAAAATCTTATTCCAATCATTGTATGAGCCCATTATTTTATCCCCTTGTGGAGAGAAGTAAATCGAACTACCGCTGGTGTACTAATTAATTTGCTTAATGTAGAAAAACTAAATATTTAATGTTGAATAATTTATGTAGAATATCCATCACTTGATATGACGGCATTAAACTGTTCCGAAAAGAAGACTGTACCGCCGGAAGCCAATCTGATTGGTATTTTGGGTGTTAATCAACAAGGTAATCTATGAACATTTATGATTTATTGTTAATAATATGAGGCACACACAAAATTAATTTATAGTCAATAATGATATGATAATATCCTTTCAGATTTTAAAACATATTTATCAAAATTGTAAGATGTTTGGCTTGTGATCTGAAAACTCACTAAAGTAAACTAAAATTAAGGTTTAAATTTTTTAAATTTAAAATAAATCAGTTTTTATTGAATAAAATAAAATGGGTTCCTGGAAATATGGATAATTAACGAAAGTGCTATTGAATGAAAAAGTATTTTTGCGCTCAATCATGGCAAATCATTTTTAAAGATTGTTCGCAGTCATGTCTCGCCTGATACTAATTAGATACTCTAACATTGAACAGATGAACGCATATTCCACTTATTTTGTAAGTTTATTTTATCATTTATTTTTTAGATCAAACGAACGATTGTTCGAGATTGTTTTGGAATAGCACCTATCCATCGTTTTCTTGTCCTATGCTAAGATATCTGACAGACGAGGGAACACTAAACATCGAAACGAGTGGGTATTTCTACATTTCATCACAACTCAAGTCAAAACACTCAACCATAAATGGCACAGCAGGTGTTTCGGGCGCCAATTTTAAACATTTCATTTACAGAATATCAGAAGATAGGAAAGAGCAAGTTCTGTTAGAAGGAGAAAAATCATTTTGTAAAGTTGCTTCAGACAGTTTTGAATGTACAAGTTTCATCGGTGCTGTTTTCAAACTTGAGACCGGAGACCAGCTATATGTAACCACCTCTCATCCAGGCAGTCTTGTTCCCGAGTCTAAAGATAATTACTTTAGCATTTATAGTGTGTAATGTACACATATATTTCCATAAAAATTCAAAAGAAAAGATGAGCGCATTTATGTAATTTGGCGGTATATTCCAATTATGTTTATTATGAGGAACTAACTGAATTTTTATCTACTAAACTAAAGCTATATGACGAAATAAGTAAAGTAACGTTCAGAGGAACGCATCCTGCTGACAATGGGCATAGTTTGGCTTTAATGGGCAACAAGGAAAGGAAATGACAAACATGAAAACAAAGGAATCACTTTAAGCATGCTTATACCTGAAATCATAAATATAAAAAGAATGTTGCTAGTTTAATTAATAACTACTCTCATAATTATAAAACATTGCCGAAGACATCGTCTTTTGAATTGTTATGTAGCGGCAAACATTTAGCCAAAAATGATCTCGTATTTTAATGCAGATATTTTATATAAAAATCATTTTGTGTGAACATATGTTATAATATGCTTTGTGAAATTCATACCTTTATCACCATGGTCATATATTTTGTAAGTTTTGGTTTTGAAAAGAAAAAGAAAGAAAAAACACCTTGCATGTAAGTGAAATTTAGTTGTAGAGCAGGAAAATAAGAGAATGTTTCAGATGTGAATGAAAGCATAATGGCTTACTTGTGTCACTTATTTAGATGCTTCTCATTAAAACATATCTAACGACGGTTTTATTATGCCCCCATTCGAAGAATATGGGGTATATTGTTTTGTTAATGTTGGTCGGTCGGTCTTTGTCGGTAGACCGCATGGATTCCGCTGATTATCTTTTAAATATTTATAACACAGTTTCCATATTTCATAAATTGATTAGTGATATGTAGTAGATGACCCCTATAGATTTTGGGGTTCAAATGTCAAGGTCACATGGGTATTGAATGCCAGAATGGTTTCAGCTCATTATCTTGAAAACTATTTATCACTTAGTCTTTCACTTTTTGGCTGGCTATAACTAGTAGATGACCCCTTTCGATTTAGGGTCTTTAGGTCAAAGGACAAGGTCACAGGACCTTATATACAGAATGCATTCCACTCATTATCTTCTAAACTACTTGTTATCTAGTTTTTGTTCCGTATAAAATTGACAATCACTAGTTGATGACCCATATTGATTTTGAGGTCACTAGGTCAAAGGTCAAGGTCACAATAACATTTAATGTTAAAATGGTAAAGGAAGATGCTCATAGTTACATAATATGATAATGTATATTTTATTCCAACAAAATTACCAATGGCATGTGTCAAGGGCTAGAAAGGGAGGGGACATATATGCCGTTCGACATTTCCTGTTTATCAAAAGGCACAAAAATGTACTTTTTAATAGTTATACGTAATACTTTTAGGTTGCAGTTATTTGAAACTTTACAAGGCTCTTAAAAGTAATAAGGTTATTTTGTGAGACGTAAACGGATAAAAGGATCCGTTTCATTTTATAAAACGTGAAGATATCATTTGCTAAGATCATTACCTGAAACTAAGAAAGAATTTTCCTGTTTGTAATCCAATATGAAATGAAACTCCTTTGTATGTAACCAACCTTTTTTTTTGGGTGGGGGGATTCGTTAATACGTGATTAATCACGTTATTTGAATTCAATCAAATAACAGTTAACAATCCTACGGTATTTTGGTACGATATGTATCGTACATTTACGTACATTTACAGTTCCTTTTGTGTAACCATATCAGATTGGATATGATGAATTTTAAAATTGTTTGTTTAAACAATTAAAACCACAATTACCCGTGTTTAATGAACGTCAAAACTTTAGTTACATGGTAGTAATGATGAAAGAAAGATACGCTATGTTTTGCATATGATTTAAATGGCATAAAGCAACCTACTATCATTTTTGGCGAACTTTCATTAGCCTTTAACCATGTGGATTAAAACGAAACGAAACAAATAGATAAGATAGGGTTTCAAAAAAATGATTTAAAGTGAAAACAATGGAGTAGTGATATAACATGGAATTTTATGACGGCCAAAATTGATATGCGATCAGGCTGGATAACGCTTTACGATTTATGTTTGAAAATCACATAGCACAAACGCTTTAAGTTATTAGTTACATCTTATAGGTGTGAAATAATTGCTTGTATCATAGCTGTGAACCTTTCTGTTGCAAATGTGTCCGAGTTAAATCGTATACATATACTTGCACCGTGCGTGAACTGGAGTGCAGGTATTAGTTACCCGCACTCCAGAGCATGCCCATTGATTGGCTCATTTTTGCTGGGGTTTACTTATTGTGTCGGCAGAGAAAGTGAAAGCAACAGACATATCATATTTAGATGCTTGTTCATTGGTTACTTTTCTCCGGGGTTTCATATTGTGACACAGGGAACGTGTTTTCTATGTTTGACTATGATACAAAAGAGAAAGAACATCAAAACACTTGGCAATCTGATTAATACTCGGGGGCCACGCTCCCTCTTACAAATCAGATGGCCTCGTGTTTCGATGCTCTTTCTATTACTTATCAAACTCGTTTACGAAAATGTTATAAAGCACGACATATGTATGTGTTATATTAATTTCTTTAACTCGTGTAATCAAATTTTATATGACATGACAACTCATGTGGGACCTTTTATGTCTGAACTGTGTAACTAAATTTAGATTTATTAAATGTTCTTTGTGTTTATATAACCTTTTGTTATGTTTGTCTTTAATTAGATATACCGCAAAGAATTAAAGATATAAAGTTTAACAAATTAAATTCATAAAAGGTCTACTTAGTCAAACAGCAACCAGTCAGAAATATTATGGTTATTGTTTTATCACTCCTAACACAACAGTCTTTAGCAGTGCTTCGTCTCACATAAACATAAGCGCCTTCTCTAACATGAACCACTATAGCTCCCGTTCCACAGTGATCATCATTCATTTCTTCGGGAAATGCTGTACCCTTAACTTGTCAATTCCCAATTTTTATTTGTTTGGGTCGTCAGACCAAACAAATAATGGTAGCGAAATTTCAGACCCTGATGTGCTTATGTGCAAAACTGAAAGTAGTCTAAACTCCTCAAAGCGGTTACTTCCCTTTATATGTATACATGTGCCGACAAATTAAGCGGAGATCACTGCGTTAAGATTGTCAAATGACAGGCGCATTAATTTTCAAGCTTTCTCGGGGGAAAAATAGTTCCAGAATGGTCGAAGATTTCTATTATTGTGTTATTCTTTAAAGATATACATGCTTATATTAAGCTCCGTGATTATTTACATCAGTGTTAAACAACGGGGTTAGCATGAACAAAATATATCGAAATTAATAAGGGTTACAAACCCTAATTTAGAATAGTGTGGTTTTATTCAGGCCGTTAACATACTTCACCGTGGGCCAAGGGGTTTCTACGCTCTTTTAGGAAGCGAGAGGTCTGGAGTTCAAATCCCAGTTAAGGCGACTCATTTTTCTTTTAAATTGTTTAAGTCAAATAAACATTGACTTGAATATCAGTGTTCAATTAGGCTTATAGCCAATCTACTACAGTTAAAGCACTGGAAACAGCCTTGGTGGCACTATACAAAAACAAACTGGTTTATAATCTCACAACCTTCACCTTTCTGACATTCTGAGACCCAAACAAATTCAGCGCCTTCTGTGGTTTGATTTCAGCCGTAACCCACTATGCACGGACATCTGATCCCACTGTTACTGAAAACACATACGCCCATGTTATTTTGGACCATGCACATAGAAGTAGTTCCCGACCTCACTTCAATATTTTTTTTCAATATTATATTTTAAGATTGTGCCTGACAAATATTTTAGTCTATGTCACCTTCAAATATATCCGTATCTGTGATTTTATGAATCAGTCGATTTCAAGTTCACATTGTTCTCCTAAATGCTTCTTTTCAGTTAAAACAATAATTGATAATGATAAGAATAGGATAAAATATAAATACTGTCTGAAATATAAAAAGACTGTCCCACCCATTTTATAAAGTAAACATACAACAATTGAAAATATAGTGTATAGATATTGTGTAAATTCCTCTACATCAAAGACAAACTTTTCATGGTTTCCAAAGCAACGACTGCCACTTTGATATATAAAATGCAACTTTTTCTGTCGACTGAACTGAAACAACATACTGATTATATGTGAACTAGGGAACATTTGTGAAGTTGCCAATAATTTTGTTTCAGAAGTTTCCGTTTAATATTGCCTCTAAGCGGTTCTACATTAACTTAATTAAAAGGATTCTACTAAGGTTTTGACATTAATAATAATTGTAATTGTTTGAAATAATACCTTTTTCATTATTTCCTAACGAATAATTAATAATTAATCAGTTGTTTAAGCAAAATCTTTTTTTCCGGTTTATGTTACAACCGTTGAATTACTATGAGCAGAGTTTCACGAGCAACCTTAAATTTGCTATTTTCAAATTGTCGGACATAATCGTCATGGAACCGTGGACGATCATTTCAAAATCTTCCAATGCATGACAAAGTTACAATCCGGAAACGAATGTGTACCTTCAAACTTTCCTTGTAAGAATGCGTACCTTTAAACTATAAGTGTGGCCTTGATCTTGGCGGTATTATTAGGGGTCTTAATGTCGTCTTTATGTGGTAGACATATTTGCTAGGCTATTTTAAAATCTTTCAATGCATGACAAAGTTACTGTCCGTACACGAATGTTGAGTAAGTGGGACGCACAGAAAGACGGACGGACAGACAGTGTGCCCTTCGGGATATTATATTTCATTATCCCTCAAAATTGGAGAGCGTAACATATTTACAAAGTATATATAATGTACATACAGCAGAAGAGAATTATATACAAATGCATTACATTGTAATATAAAAGATACAATAACATGAAATTCTTTTACAATTGTAAAATTATGACTTATGGGTATTAAACGAAAGCGAAAGTATAGACTATGTTTTAAATCATTCATTTTAAACATGAACATTGCTATAATCATCCTAGGTGATAAAAATAATTAAAGTTACTAAGTTCCGTACCAATAACTGAATCTTAATCGAAAAACGAAAAATTAAGAGAAAGTGAAGGTACAGTCTTTGTGTTCATGCTTTATAAATGACTATCAATAGATGGATGTCATTAGCATTATTCCTAAATAAATCAATGATCTTAATTATTGAAAAAAGAAGAAAAAAAAAGAAGAAAAAAAAAACACAAAAAACAGAGAGCAGGTAAATAAAATAAATAACTATACAGTTTATGTCTGAGAAAAATACTACATATACTGTAAAGCGATAAAATTGCCTGCTTCTTTTTTTTTTAACGTAGAGATAAAAGTTTTGCAAGCGCGATAGCAATTTGAAAGTTGACAAGTACATTATCATGTAAAAACATTTCACATTGATATCTGTAGTTATGGCAAATAAATGTGCTGTTTTGGTCAAAACTTAAATTTGATATAATAGCGTTCCAGAAAGGCACGTCTTTTAGTCTCTTTCCTGTGACAAAAACACATAAGGTGTTCTGTAATGCCATTTGTAAGAAGATTGCAAATGATACAACGACGCACATATGGAAAAACACATCCTGGTGTCCAACTGCCTTGCCAAGTATTGCAGCAACCCATTTTGGACCCGGATTTTGTCGAATAATAACGCACAAAGGGGAAATCTTATAAGTATGAAGTAGAAATGTTAATGCTTGCACTTGTGGCGTTTAAAGTTTCTTAGAATAACTCTTTTTGTTGACTCATTGATTACCTTTATCTGTAAAATCTTCTTCCATTTAAATTTAGATAGAAACACACCGGTATCAATACAAGACTTTAGTATACAACGTTACAACAGATCATATTTCTGCAGTAATCTATATAAATTATGTCTGGAATAAATCTATGTTTCTGTTTATCCACATTCATATACCTAATCAATCTATTTACAAATATCTGTTTAGCAAGATATTTAGATGGCAATCAGCATAATTGACCAAATAACTGTAATTTCCTGTAATTTATCATAGTAAGTATGTTTGGTATATTCAACATACATAATGCAAACTTTGTGGAAAAAGATTTATGAAAATTTTTGTATAAATTTAACACAGAAGTTGTGTGCTAATTCTAAATTGGATATGTTTTTATTTGAGTAACAGTTCCAGTTTTAACAACCATAAAGCGCTTTAGGTACAACAACTGTCATGTATATTTTTCGGAGTGTAGCAGGACTTATAGAAACTGGATGCAATCTACTGCTACAAATGCTTAGTAATGTACCACGAAACTTAACACCTAAATTCTTATATGTGAAGTTAATAGGTATGACGTCATTTCCAAGAGAAAATATCACCGACTCATGCACTAGAGTAGCTGGGTTAAATGTTATAACAGCGCTTTTTGAAGGATTGTATAGGAAGCGCCATTTTCTCGAGTAAATGTTACAAATCTTCAGCATGTTATCTAGACCAGCGCTGCGGAGAATGATACGAGACCAATGTAATCGGCAACGGTGGGACAACGACCATATTTAAATTGTGTATGAAAACGCCATTCGCGCTGTCTTCCAACTCGCGTATTAATCCATTTATGAAGACAAGAATACATTTGATGGTGAACTTTATTCCTCCCTGTCGAGTACCTTGCAGTATTGGGAAATAGTTACAAGCTATGCCTTTATACTGTACATAACTGTATACATTTTATACACATCGTAAAAACGACTTTTAAAACGTTGGTATTAATGTGTTTCCCCGTTGTCAGAAATAGTATGTTGTAATTTATTAAATGAAACCATTTGTCCAGACGCGGTCGGAAGCCTGTCTGCAGTCTAGAAAACACATGTTAGACCCGATGAAGAGTTTTCTCGTGCAAAAATGTAAGCAAACTCCCTTAATGAAAAAGAGGTCATTTAAACAGCCGAGTGCACCTTGTTGAGAACTAATGGAGGATAATATGTGTTTTTTACATTTCCTAAGCAAAATTACTTCATACACTTTAAGTATTGATGAAGTCAGACTAATGGCTCTAATAACTGGGTCGTCGTGTTTCTTATTGCCACCTTTATGAACAGTAATAAATTTTACGCGATTTAAACGAATCTGGTTTTTTCACCACCTCTTAATATCAATGTATAGAAATTCGCTAATACCGGGGATAATATATCCGCGCCATATAACAAGTGTTCGTGGGCAATACCATCCGGTTCGTTTGCCTTACCTCTCGATAAAGTCTGAATGGCTGACTTTACATCTTCCTCGGCTATAGACACATTATTACTGAGATTCATATTAAAAGACTCAATCACATATTGTTCTACAAAATCATACCAAGGTTTATCAAACTGTTCTGAAGCTGTAGGTTTATACAGATCTTTGAAATAATTAGCCCACTGCTCTGCTATATCACTGCGACAGTTGTATTTTATTCCATTGAAGCACATGCTACTTCCTTAAACGCTACTTTGTTGTTTACGTGCCTGAATATCTTTCCAAAACAAATCACTATTTAATTCAGCTTTGACCTCTAGTTCATGGTCGAGATCACGAAAATATGAATTCACTGCCGCCCTATGCAATTTTCTAGTTTTTAGTCTTTGCAGATTTATAATTTGCATACTCCTTGTGGTTTATTCCGCGTGGTCGCCCTGCCCGGCACCACACTTCTC